GTCGTCTCGTGGGTCAGTATGATATATCGCTCCTAAAAAATTTCTCTTCATCCACAGAAAAATGCACGAAAACGAAATCTTTATGTAGATGACAGATCTGTTCTCTCAATTAAAAACAACACAGAATTTACGAGATATAATTATACTATCAAATAAAGTTTCTGTTTGAGAATTAATACAATCTACTTAAATTATATCAAGAATAACAAACAAATTCAATTTTAGATGCTAGTTTTGATTTATTGTGTATATCAAATTAGAGTGTGATAAATGAAGATGCAAAAGAATTATCTGTAATCGGATTTCAAAGATTTCAACTCAGAAATTAAATCTCTCTCAAATATCCAAGATTATGACGAACAGCATTGTGGACAAAATAGCAAGAAAATATTTTAAATTTATCATAATCTTTCAAAGTGATATCGATGCTCACCACGTTGTAAATAAAGAATTAGTGCCTTCTATTTAGTAACATAAATCGACACAAAATTTTGTTGGTATTCCATAGTAAGAGTAACAGAATGATTGTGTCAACTTTACCACCAAATGGAAAGTATCCAATGAAAAAGCATCGATATTCACCATCAAATTGAAACATCTAGTCATAGAATGATTTGCTTATATTAGCGCGTATACTGGGCTTGCGGATACAACGAGGGATCGCGGCTTGCCACAACGCGACGTTGCGACTCAAATAGAGCCATTAACGCTGCTTTGAATAGCGCACATCACGGAAAAGACATACCGTATATCTCGAATAAGAAAATCGTAATGCCCACGGAAAGCCCTTTTTATCCAGATCGCGATTCGCTATTTTGCCCTGATCGCTGGTATCATACTACTATCATGATATTTAATACTTGCAAGTACAGAAGATAGAACATAATCATTGTTAAGTTATCATAACACACGCATTACAGAATAACTGTTGACCGACGATGCATTTTAATAGTGACTTGCTCCAATTAAACTCTACACGATTCTAATATTGGCCGCTTAGTTGTCATTTAAGAATGTACGCGTCACAATTAAAAACATTAATAAAAATGTGAAAATATTAAATTTTATTATTACGTCTGAATATCTGTATAAAATTTGAATACAATTCTCTTATTGATTTAAAAGTTAATAATTTGTTTTTTGTCTTGATTCTTATACAAAATCGCTTTGTATTTATTTACAATATATTTGCAAATTTAATAATAAAATTTAATGATAAAGTATCATTACAAATTAAATCAAATTATTTATGCTAATAAAATTCTAATAAATGTTCGTGCAAAAATTTATTTGTGAATCTACTTGTTTAAAATCGTTATTTACCTAAAACTACAGCAATATATGAGAATTGCGCTATATAAGTCAATAAAAAATAAGTCAATTAAAAACTAAATAATTTGCTTCTTTCTTTTGTAGTTGGTTTCAGAACATGTTTACGACAAACTTTTTTTTATTGATTTTAGTTGATATTGGTTTTTTTAAACTAATTTTTTTTTACTAATATTTTTAACTGATTGTACAGTCAAAACATCCAATAATACTGTCGCTCAGTTATCATTTAATTATCGTGTTAGTCGATAATTATCGAAAATTCTACTTTTCTTCCAAAATCGGCGACGCGATAATAAGCGATCATTTCATAAAATTTTCATCACGTTACTTCATTTAGAATCGTATTACATGTGACATTTAATAACATTTTATTCGATTTTTAATTAGTAATAACCTTTTAATTATTTGTAACATTAATTATACACTTTTATTTTTAGTAAAAACTCTTCATAATATTAAACATTTTGTATAGAAATAATAGATAACATTTCCATATCTATATTTTGAATGAAAAATTTATTTAATTTGTGTATTGTATTTTAGAATAATCAGCCTTGTTATTATTCATTTTTGATTTAAAATCTAAGAAATTATATAGATTAGTGAAAAAGAGAAACAGATGGTCATCTGAGTGCTTATAAAAATTATTAAAAAATATTAAATATTAGATTATTCATATTTATTATAAAATCATGTAGAGATTTTATATATATATA